ATATATATATATATTAACAAATACTTGTACAATTTTAAAATATTCAGAAGTATCATTATTTAAGCATTTATAAGATATGATTTTATTTTAAAAAAATATAAATTATAAATTAAATTGACTGAAAATAAAGTAAAATATAAAAAGTAATTAAATAATTTTTTAAAATATCATTATACATCACAATAATATTAATAAAAAAATACTAATCAACATTCACCTAATTTTAATTTATAATAAAATGTCAAAGGTCAATTCCATATATAACCACCATTAAAAATTAAGAAACATAAATCTTAAAAAGTAAAAACCAATTATACATATTTTATAAAATCTAATTAAAAATTATCTTATAAATATCAACAGCAAAACTATTTCAGATGTGTTATTTTAGAGAAAAATAAAAAAATTACAAAAAAAACTTTTTTAATAGAAAAGTGTAGGTTTTAAGGAAAAGACAGAAAATAAGCTTAGAGGAAAAGAGATAAAAATAAATAAATAAATAAATAAATAAAACACACACACACTTTGGAGTGTTAATATAGAATTGGTTTTTAGTAAAAGAAAGAAAAATAAAATTAAAAAAAATATTTATGTCAGTAATATGATTCAAACTTGAATATTTTTCATAAATTTATACATAAGTTAATTAATAAGTTATACTTTATCAATAGACGGGAAAGGTTTTACGGTACAATTTGTTTGCTGCGTGGAGAGTATTTAGGTCTTGGATAACACTAAACACACATGATAAATATAATCAATATATTTCAATTGTGCAAATTTAACAACTGAAATAAAATCGCATATTTTTCAAAACTAAAAGACAATAAGTATGGATAACAAGTGTGGATCAGTGTTTTAATCAATCAAATTTCTTATTAACAGTATTTTCAAGTAACAAACTTCACATTTTAGGCCATATATTTAGAGTTCAAACAAAACCCTATCCTTATTTACATATAAACCCAAGGAAGGAGGGAAGAGGATGCAAGAAAAGGAAATGGTAGTTGGGAGAAGGCAGGCAGCAAAGGAAGGGAAGAGGAGGCAAGATGAAGAGGAACCAAGTGATATATTTCTTGTATATAGAGGAAATAAGGTGATATAGCGTTTTGTTTCATGAAATTATCCACATGATTATGACATTTTTATATCTATTATTTATTAGACTTCATAATTTTCATGACCAAGAATAATTTCTACAATAAAATAAAACACATAATCATAATAAAATTTAGTCCTTTTACTAGAATTTGTAATCAAGATAAAAAGAAAATTAAAAAAAATACTAAAAATAAATGAATATTTATAAACCCATATTCCGACCTATAGCCTTAATCCTTTAATTAAAGGTAATCCTAAGAGAAACTGATATTTGCATCGACATTGACGAGGTTTAAACTTGGAAGACAGACGGCAAGAGGCAGCCCAATCTTGCAACAAAACTTCACGGTGTTGCTATTATAATCAATCGTTTAAATTAATTAACACAACCAAGCTATAAAATTACATCAAGCACATGCTACAAAAAAAGCAAAAACAGCAATAAAACACACAACATATACTTCACAAGCAATATAAATGAACTTTGATCATTTTAATAATGTTATCATCTGCTACATCAACAACTTTATCTGCAGCTAGAGCTTGACCAAGTAGATTAATCATAGACTGATCTTGAACTTAATTTAATTTAAAACATATTTACATATAAAAATAAATTTCATATTTAATGAAAAAAAAAATGCTTTTTGAGACTTAAATTTAGGGGTAAAAAGTGATGTGTCATTCATTAGACAAATAAATTAAACAACGGAAGCACTCTTTCAATTGTGATTCATTGCCTCCAACATATACCAAATAAAGATGATACTGGTAACCGAGGAACCAAGAAGTTGAAAAATCCATATAACAAGTAATAACCAAAACGAAAGTTTTAAAAATAAATAACAGGCCTCAAAGCCACCATGGTCTTAAACAAGATAATCAATTCTACAGTAAAACAGTAACTAACTTTGTCCCAAAACTCAAAAACTCAAAAGATTCGCATCTGAAAGCACTAAAAAGCTTAACCTAATAACGCCCAATCGCCCAAACTCTAACAACACCATCGGTATAGCCACTAAACAAGGTGCTTCCATCGGCACTCCAGTTCAAACTTGTGCAGTAAATGACCTGCAAAGTAGTGGCAAGGAAACATATCAAAAAGTCAATTAGTACAATCACTTTTTGCCACACAATCCTATAAATCATCACCAACATATTCATATTCAACCCCATGATAAACTTATATTATTTTACAAAACTAAAACATATGTAAAACACACTTCCATAAACAAGAATTCCCCTACAAAACATAATAGAAACATCCTACAAAAACAACAAAAATTATCCAATTAACATAACCAAATCAAAAAAATATGAACTCAGACAATAATAAAACAATAATAAGAGTCCTAGATCAATATATCTGATCAAACCCAATGGAAAACAACAAATCAAAACAGCAAATAAACACCATAACAACTAAAAGCCCAAAAGACAACAAATAAACTCCATCCCAAGGAACCAACAATACAAAATAAACATTATAATCAATAATGTCAAACAATAATTCATAAATAAAAATCATTTAAACAGAATAAATCATATAAGCAAATAAGAATTCTAAACAGAATTAATCATATAATCAAATAAGAATTAAGAAAAGCATAAATTATACCTTCTTTTTGTTGGTGTTTCCACCGGTGGTGGCATCAGCCTCGGTCTTAAGATCAACCTTCAAATCCTCAACAATGCTCTTGCTCTCCAAATCCCAGATCTTGATGCTCTGTTCAGTAGCAGCACAGAGCCAGTACCTGTTGGGGCTGAAGCAAAGAGCGTGAATGATAGAGCCAGCATCGAGCGAGTAGAGGCGCTTCCCCTCAGCCAAATCCCACAGAAGAATAACACCATCTTTGCCACCACTGGCACAGAGAGACCCATCAGGGGAAACAGCAACGGTATTCACATAACCATTGTGTCCAGCAAGAGTATTCCTCAGCTTGCAGTTAGTAAGGTTCCAAACCTTAACAGTCTTGTCCCAAGAGGCCGAAACAATAGTGGGCTGAAGAGTACTTGGGCTGAAACGCACGCAACTGACCCAATCGGAGTGGGCGTCACTGTCTTGGATCGTGTACTTGCACTCACCCAGGGTGTTCCACAGCTTAATCGTGCGGTCGCGGGAGGCTGACACGATCTGACGGTTGTCGATGGAGAACGCCACGGAGAGCACGTCCTTGGTGTGGCCGACGAAGCGGCGGGCGGAGGTGCCGGCGGCGAGGTCCCATAGGCGGAGCTCGCCGTCCCAGGAGCCGGAGAGCGCGAACTGGCCGTCGGAGGATAGGACAACATCCTGGACGAAGTGGGAGTGGCCGGTGAGGCGACGGCGGGGAACACCGTAGGTCTTGTCCTCCTTTGTGAGGTGCCAGAGGATGATGGATTTGTCGCGCGACGCAGTCACGATCATGTCAGAGTTGTCAATTGGGGTGGCAATTGCCGTGACGACGTCGGTGTGGGCGCGCATGGTGCCGCGGAGAACGAGACCTTCTGCCATGTTTTGTCTCTCACACACACACAGTGGAGCTGCTAGGGTTTGGTTTCCGACTGTGAGAGGCTTTCTGTGTTTCTAAGGGATGCCTCGCCTCTCGCGAAGCAATATATAGTGAGGAGAGAAACCTGATTAGGGTTTTGGGATGGGTGGATAGCAACTAGTCTGTACGTTTTCCTCTTTTTTTTTTTTTAATAAAATTGTACCGTTTTAGGTTTTTAGAAGCCCATCTTTATGATCAATATACCTCTTCCAACGGCCCAATAGTGAAAATAAATAAATCAAACAATTAAAATTATCCAAAAATAATCACTATTTTCAAATACTGAGAACAAGAATAATCTTTTGATATATCAAAATAAGTCTTTCAATCCAGACTACAGGACAAAAGTAGTATGAGGTTCTCTCTTGTAGTTTTAATGTTCTGATCTCAAATTCATTATATGATATGTTGTCCGTTCTAACAGATTAAATTGTCACGATTTTGTCCTTAAAAATGTCTTAAGTTGGTTAAGAATAAAAAATTTATTTATAAACGGTTATTTAACTCGATTCTTAAACAATGTGTGATTTTTTAGAAATATCAAAACAAAAACATATATGAACTTTTTTTTTATTTTGAATTTGTAACTTGAACTTATCTATAGCTATTGAGATTATTTTTTGTTTCATATTTATTGATTAAAAAAGAAATTGCTTATCTTACTAATGTATTTAAGATAAATTTGGTTCATGACTAAGGTTAAAAATGAGTTAAGCTAAGTCGAGTTCAATTCATTAATATTTGCCTCGACTTGATTTTGACATAAATCATTTTTTTTAGCTTGATTTCGTTTAAGTTCGATTCAGTTAGTTAATTCAAATCATATAAATTAATAGTTAAATTTTTTTAATCTTGTATATTTCAAATTTTCAGTTTAATAATAGATTTTTGATAAAATAATTATTTAATTTAAAAAAAGACATAAACATGACTTATTATATTAGTTTTGTAAAGTTACAAGATATGACTCTTATAAAAAAATATAATTACAACCAAATTTTGTATTAATAAAAACCATTCACCTTTATAAAAAAAATAATAGAAAACTTAATCTATAACCATAAAATTTTAAAGTGTTAACTTATAATTAATTTTTCAAAAAGTATTTTTAATTTTAATAAATTAAAATTATATATAAATTTAATTATATAAATTGTATATTTATATATCGAACTAATTCACAAACCTAATAAACCAAATTATTATAACTTAAATTTAACTCATTTATTTATTAAAAATTTTGATTATATAAAATAAAATTTTATTTTGTGTATTATACAAGCTTATAAACTAATAAGTAAATATCCTTGAATATACATAATTTCAACCATAATATCAGGTTAATTTTTAACTATTTTTAATAATTTTAAATTAAGGACACATATAAAAGATAATAAATTAAAATAAATATACGGTTAAAAACCCAATATATAAATAAGAATTAAAATAAGAGAAAATAAAATACATATTATTTTGTGTTGTTTGTTCGGAGAGAAAATAAGAGAAGAAGAAAAATATAAAGGACAAGTCCCAAATAAAAAAAAATATAAAAAAACATTTTGTTAAATGAGAAAAAATAAGAATTAAATGATAAAAATGCGAGATCTACTTTAAATTACAATTTAACCCTTTTTTTTATCTATTTTCATAAAATATACTATATATATTTAATGGTAAAATAGGAAAACTCAACTTTTTTTTCTTCTTCTTTCTAACTTATTTATATCTAAACATCATTAAAAAATATACTCATCTTTTTTTACTTAGTTTCTCTCCTTTCCTACCTTTTTTTTATATTTTGTATTTTATTTATCCAAACAAAACATTAAAGTAAATAAAATATCAAAAATAATTAATTAAGATAACCTACAAAATAGGGATCTCATTTTTCTATCTCTAAGTTTTATAGTTTAGCTAATATTTTAACTAGTATTCTGTAAAACATAAATGTTTAATTTTATATAATAAATAAATATATAAATTATATTTTAAATTAATAATTTAAATTATAATATAAAATTATTTTTAAGTATTAATAATTCATTTAAGAGAAAACAAATTATACATTGACAAGTAACAACGTAAAATAGTTTTATATTACTATTTAATCATAAATTACTAAATATGGTAATTTTATTGACCTTTTATAGTAAAATAATATAAAATTCATATCAATGTTAATCTGTGACTGGTTGACCATGTCATTAAATTATTTTTTTAATATTAAAATTTAATTTTAAATATCAAAAGATATAGACAATTAAAATAATAAGTGTATAAATAAAGATGAAAGAATAACTAGTGAAATATGTTTAGAAAATAAATCCTTTATCTAATTATAATATCAGTGTGAAAAATATATATTAAAAAATATTAAAAATCTTTACAACAATATATGAAAATAGTAAATAATATTTCGCGTATTCTATTTCTAATTTATTAGAAAAAATATTTAGCCATTTAAATTCATTAAATATATATAAAGTGAAATAATTTTTTATAACATAAATTAAAATAGTTATTCATTTTGTAAATATTTTATTTTTCTTCACTCTATCTCACAAACGAGTTTCATTTTCATAAATTTCACATTTTTAACATGTATTACGGTCTATTATCTAACAAGGAATTGAATATAAAAAATAAATATATTATTTATCTTCAAAAATTCAAATAGTATTCCTTCTATATTGTATTTACTTTATTTTTTTAGCCTCTTGTATTTTTTAATACAATGTTTTATATTTATTTTAATATATATTTTAAATATTATCAATAATTAATAATAATTTTTCATTCGCAATATAATAATAATATATCTTTTAACATATTTTTGTATAAAAAATCTCAAATTACACATAATAAAATAAATCAAATCCACAACATATTTACTGCACACAAAAAATACAAATTACTGACATAATAAATCTCACGTAACTTATTTAAATTTAACATTAAAAATATAATAGTAATATTAATGAATTGATGAATTAACCTGCCTTAACATGTCATTTGGTCCGTTTGGTTAAACAAGTTGAAATATTTAATTCGACCCATTTTGTAATCCATACTTCTTAAGATACATTTACTCTTTAATTACTTTTTTTTAATATTTGTTTCAGATATTTTTTAATCTTTACCTTTATTTATCATTTGCATACTTTTATTTTATTTTATAATAATTATAACTTTCTTTTAAATAAATAATTATTGATGTGTATTAAAATTAAGCTTCCTCGCTTTCGCTGTATTAATTAAAAGTAACAATATTATATCTCTTCAAAATCATGCTTTAAATATATAATTATTTGTTAGCGAGGCTAATAATGCGACCATCACAATTATAGACTGATAGTAAAAATACATTAATGGAATATGTAATTGTTCCTCGAAGCACTCTTACATGTGAATGAAAGCTAATAATAAATAAAAATGCATCAATAGATTCATATTGTTTTTTTTTTTCACCTTTTAAAATTTTCACTGATAATAATATTTACTCTCACCTACTATCATTAATTACCTCTCTTATCTTAATTTCTTATCTCCTTTTTTTTATATGTTTTATATTTTATTTAAATAAAATACACAAAAATACATAATCTCATTGATATATTATAAATGAGACTTAAATATGATATAATATCTTAAATTTAAAATAAGTTTCTTTTGGTCTCTTAGAACCACAATAAAATAACACTCAAAAGAACAAATTAAATCAAATTGAATTTAATATATAATGCTTTTACATGCAATGCACTCGAAGGTGATAGGATTAAAAAAAAAAAACTGACAACATTTTAGTACAGTGACACAAACAAACCTTTTGAAATTACATCACCAACAAAATCGATTTTAAATTTAAGATATAAAAAATAAATTTATCTTATATTTAATAGATAAAAACACATTTAAACATATAAATAATTAATATTTATAACATTTTATAGTTGTCAAATTATTATTATTCATTAAATTTATTTTCATGCATTTTTTATCATGTGTACACTTGTTTGTTTGTGTCAACATCTTTTGAATTTAATAACTTTTTTTTTATAAGGGGGAATCTAATTATACAAATACACATATTGAACCAATTATAAATTATTTAAAGTTTGTGTTTCAAAATGAAAAATGATATTATTTAAAAAATTATTTTTATTCAAATTTAAAAGATAAAAATCAAAACAATCTTAAACACAAAGATAAATGACAAAAATATAATTTAATGATACTTAAAAAAAAAAAAGTTAAAATTCATAATAATGAATCATGTTTAATCTATATTCATTAAATTAAGAGACATAAATCGCTAATTTATATAACTTTTTAATATGATTGAGTCTGATTTGGTGATGTCATAATTTCTTAAATCCCTAGAACTTAAACTTTTGAAACCCTATATCTTAAATAATAAATATATATTAAAATGATAGTGAGATTTGATGTACAAATTTTTTAAAATAATTTTGATATTAAATTTTTAAACAATAAAAATAATATTAAAAATTAATTATTCTTATAAACATAAAATTTAAAAATTTAAAAAAGTATAGACAATACTAATTAATATAATAAATATTAATAATTTTTAAATATTTGTATTAAATAAAATATTAACAGATTGAATCCATGATCCATCAGTGGATAATAATGTAACATGATATCAAGAAAAGACTCTGCTGCTGCCGCGCATTCTTGTTTTTTGTTATGATTTTTTTAATATATATTTTTTTACATTTTCCGTTTTGATATGCATACCAAGGCATTTGATATTTATTTATTTTGATTGTTTGGAGCACTAAATAGGAGACGCACACCCATTCCCCTGATTCGTTTCTGAGAGCTCGAGGCTGAGTTAGCTACCTAGTACTAGTAGCCGCTACCTAGTACCCTCGCCCAAGTTACTTCCTCCTATTTTTCTTTCTCTCTCTGCGCCCCTAACACCACCCACTTCCTTTTCTGCATTTTTATCCTTCATTCGCCTCTCTATTCTATTCCCATGCTTCTTCCTTCTTAATCACTCTGATTTCCATTGCACCCTCTCCACCCTCGGTTTTCGGCCAACCCATAGATTCTCGCAAAATTTCCCTCTTCCAACTATCATCAAAATGCTTTCCGTTAGGTAAAGTTTCCAACTTTGGTGACATCCTTTATCTGGGTCTGTCTCTTTAATTCCTTTCTCTCAACAACATTCCTCGCTCGTTGCTTAATGTCTGACGCGTTATTTGATTATTTCCACTGAAATTCTAAACTTGGGTCTATTTTGTGACATGGGTTTTTTTTGTTATTCATTTTTGAATTTTGATCAAAATGGTGAGGGTGTCTTTAATTGCCTGAATCTCCGCTGTTGTTCTCTATGCGTTCCTACATTATTTTGGGGCTTCTTTGTTAACTTTGTTGATTACTGTGTGTTAGGAATTTGTGGAGGCGGCATAGGAGGAAGATTTTCGTCACTGTTGGTGTTTTAGGAAGTGGGTATCTTTTGTATAAGCTCTATGGGGCTCACAGGCATGGGGTTCAGGAACTTGAAAGAGAACTCGCAGTGCAGAGGGAGTCTGAGGAGCTTATGAAGGCTCAGTTGAGTGAAATATCCACCTTCAACGTTTCGTGTTATTAATTTAATGATTTATAATTTATAATTTATTATATATATTAGATAGATATGTTTTATGTGATCATAAATTTCCAGCCTACTGTCTATAAAGAAGGAATGCTGATGGCATGCCCTCTTGTTTTTTAATTGTCAATGATATAGGATGCAAGCTCACTTTGAGAATATTCAGAGGATATCTGATGTAACATTGCCTCTTGCTATGCACGACTTAAGCTGTCGGATCACAGAAGAGTTGGATCTTTCTCACCTTCTTGAAAGGCTAATACAAGGAAAGGGTCAACCAAACGCCTTAACACAATCAGAGAAACTAGATTTATGGAGTAGACTCAAAATTCTAAGTATGGATCTGATCTTGGATTCCAATTTATTATGCCTATAGCTTTGTGGTTTAAATTCACCTGGTTGCAATAATCAATAAGTTAAAAAATAAACATCTTTGCAATTTCTTTTTCCCCAGGTTTTACAAGAATGACATTGTCGGTATGGACTACAACAATGCTTAACTTATACACAAAAGTTCAAGTCAATATACTAGGAAGGCATCTATACATCGATACAGCACGAAGCCTCGGAATCTCTGATTCAGTGGTAACAACAACTGTCTTTCTTCTTTATACGTTATTAGTTTTTCATGTCTCTTACCAAAGATTGTTGTTGAGTTTTATTTGGATGCCTTGGGTATATAAGTAGTATGAAGGAACCCATGTCATTATCTGTTAAAGGGATCCGTGGCATCACTTATAATATCCAGATGCCATTCAACAGAAGGCCTGACCTTAGGGCATTTGGATTTCCAAAGGGGTTTGTCACAATGAAATTGATTTCTGTCTGTCTGCTGATAGAATGAGTGTCAAGTGAAAAGAATTTATGACAGAACACCTTATTACCAGGTTCTCTTACCCAAAACATCGAGTTAACAAACATAATGACACTTTTGTGAGTATCAGGTAGTATGTTACTTCTGTTTATTATGTGTGAAACTTCTAGCTTGGATAATTGATCATAGTTTAGTGAATGATAAAAAAAATGTTAAGGCAGCAGATCTATAGAAACCAATTATTAATATTGAAAGGTTTATGAAGCATAGACACTTCTATTACTCGAGAAGTCCACTTAAAAAAATATTTTATATTGGTTCGAACACTTGAGCTTGGATACTTGAGCCAACACCTTGATATGGATGGATACTTCTAGGACACTAGTACTATAAAAAAATAGTTATATCTTTTTAACATTTAGAAAGTCAGTTTAAAATGTAATATAAAATATTAAAAATAATGTCTCTTCAGATGTTTTTGTGAGACTCATTATCATATTCATAGGAATGCACATATAGAATATACAATTCTTAATTATTATTTTACACCCTTTGTTACGTTGCTTATATTTAATCTCATTTGATATAAATATATATTGTCCTATATTTTCTGGACAAACTGTGTCAAAGTGTCCATGTTAATGTCAAATCCAGTATCCATGTTGAGGTCCATGCTTCATTGGGTATTTTCTATTGTTTATTTTTTGTCCTGTGGGTTTTCTTTTGTGATCTTAAAATTGTATTTGAACAAATGAACTTAATTCTGGGACAAAGGGGGAAGGGAGGGATTTGGAACTAGGTACCGATGTTAAACTTGGGGCTTTTGCTCTATTGATTGAAACAATACATGGGTCAAATCTCAGGGTAAATCAGAATTTCAAAGCTTTCCAGTAAATATCTTTTGGGGAGTGTCTTTATGATTAAATTTTTCTCACAGCATAAGAGTCATATTTCTACTTCTATTTGAATATACTTTTCACCAAAATAACACATTACATGCCTCGTTGAACATGAAATAGATAATTCTTTTTTCTCTCTGTTACTCTATATGCAGGAAAGTGGAGATGTGGTTGGTAAGGAAGACCAGAAGAAATTTTTAGATAGTGTTGATTTTCTCTCTCAGCATGGCATGCCTGCCTTGATTACTGATATGGAGGCAGCAACAAATGAGGTTCTCAAAGGGTGATGTTTCTTTCATTAATTTGAAAGCTCTACAATTTGTGAATTGAATATATCAATCATTAAAATATTGTCTCAGATATATAAACATTAATTTTTTAACTTTTTCTATAAGATATAGAGCAAGCTTTCTTGTGATTATAGGGATTTGTTTTTGTATCAACGGGCATAGGAATTGTCAGTAACCAAGTCTCTGTTTAAAACTTCCCAAGCTTTCAACCTTTTCTTGATTAAGTTTCTGAATTGAGACCCAGAGTTTCCATTTGTTTTCAGTTTAACAATCTATGTTTTTATTAAATACCTGCCTGAGTAGTAAACAAACTTGGTGAAAATGAAAGTTTAGCAACGCTAACACATTAATGCAGCCCTTTGGCAGCCTCCTGTAGAAGTTAGCAGTGAATATATAATCAAATAGTTCACCGAAAATTGTGTCTCATTGAGTCGAAAGTTGGATGTGTTTACAATATTTATAGAATCTAGAGATACATTATAGATTAATGATCAAGACTTGTTTTAAATTGGTTATAGATATTTTCAATGTGCAGAAAGCAGTTGAGTACTTCCTTCAACAGCACAACACTTCATGAAACTATCATGCGGATACTCAATACCTTCATGAGCAAGGGGACTCCAAATTCTTGGATAAAGTATATGATTCCTGAAGATGTTAAATCATTTTCCACATCCTCTGGCAGTGATGACCAAGTGCCATCTGATGTGACTGAATTTGAACAACTTATGATGGAAGCACAGGCAGTATTATCAAGGTAAATGTTTTTGTTTCCCATGCAATGGTTAAGTACAATTGCCTGGAAACTCAATTGATGTATAACAACCTTGTCCATGACAACTTCTTGCTTGTAATTTGACAGATAACTAATGCGCTCTGAGGAACTATTTGAGTAGGAACTAGGAAATCACGTGTCTATAAAGTTTTACAGAAATTTATATAAAAATATTCATCATGCAGGACCTACATTACAATATTACATTAATCAATCACATTCGAGTTTTTTTTAAACGGTTAGGATCCCCATTTGATGTTATGTTATGACTGGTCTCGTTCCACTTAGGCACATTTTTCTGTGAAGTAATTTTGTATGAATTTTCTTTATTTGAGATTAAACTCAATATTGTCCGAGGATGACTGATACTATTTCATTATTGAAATAGTATTTCTCTACATTTGCAGTATAAATATCTCAAACAAGTATTTCTCTACATTTGCAGTGCTGAATTTGGAAGCATTGTAGAGATGTCTCTGAAAGCAGTGGTGGATACACTGGTGGAGCTCATGGGGGCTAAATTTAGTGGGGGAAGTGTAACAGCGGGTGTGCCGCTGGCCAGAGTGTTGCCGCAAGTTGCACAGATGTGTCCTTTGCTCCTTGAAGAACCCAGCAAAAATCAGTTCATCCAAATCATTAAAAATATACAGGAGGTTGAACTTTTTTTCACTCTCCTCTATGCAAATATGCCACATGCGTAGTGATTAATATTTATGCTTCAAATGAAAGAAACCAAAAGAGATTTAATTTATTGCATGAAAGGCACCGGGCAATGTACAAAAAATTAGACGAGGTTCAAAAGAGATATAGGAGCGAAATTGTTAGCTTTCATCTTTTCAATGTGACATTTCCCATTTGTTGTAATTAGTGATGCATAATGCTCCTCCTTTGGCTCTAACGTGGCGTTTGGAGGAACCAGGTTTTTTTTAGTGCTATAGCTTGCTTTATGATCAGTGCTGTACACAAGGGAAATGACTTTATCGTCTCATTTATTTACTTTGTTCATGCAGTGCTTGTCAGATTTGCCTTTCAAATGTTCTAACAATGCTAGTGTTCGTTCTTGTAGCTTCTACATCAGGATGAGATATGCAAGAGTTGTTCAATGATGTCCAATTATTTTGCAATACGCTTTTATTTGGGAACATATGATAACATTAGGGAAAATAAGGTTGAGCAATATAGGAATAACTGGTTTAATGCCATGATCACGAGAAGAATTAAAATGCGTAAACTATATATGTTCCCTTAAATTTTCCATTTTCCATTTTCCCTTTTTTTTAAGAGTCCAATTATGGTATATTTAGGCCAAGTAATCTCGTATTTGTCTCAAATATATTTTATATATAATAAAAACAACATCCTTGTTAAACGGCATTGCAACAATGGCTAAACAACTAGCATATGTGAACGACATACCGGTGACTTAATTGAGTTAACTACTTTCATTAGTTTAGTTTACTTTTAACACCTAAAGAGTAACAAATATAAATATTTTAGTACTTGATGCATATGACACTTATACGATGCATACGGATACGATTCTAATAATCGTTAGATAATTATTTTGGGATTGAAAGTGAACGAATTAATGAAGAAAAAAGAAAAAAAAAATTAAGTGGGGTGAGTAGCACAATCGTAATATTTGATGAAAAATTTTAAGGAGAAAAAGCAAAATTGTGATATATTGTTATTATTGTAAAATTGATCGACTTTTTAACAATAACTTTTTGTCCAATTGGGCTGATAAAAAGCTGGACTTGAATCACTTGTAGCCACCTTCTATCCAGCTCCTCTACAACTTTTCTATTTCTTTGCAACTTTTCTTCATTTCTCTACTATCTTGCTTCCTTTTTTCATTCTCTCTATATCTTTCCTATTGTTTTTGTTTCTGTTTTCTGCTCAGGGAGAGGATCTAATTTGCATAGAAGTTGGTATTATCGAAAAATCATATTGGCCACGGGATGAATCAATAAAAATGATTATGGATTTTTTTTAACGGATATACTTTTGTGGTAGATTTTAAGTATTTTAAAACAATAAATTTTCATTACAAATAAAAATAATTATATGTTAAAATAGAAAAATAGCACATAGGATCGCGTCCCCAACTTTTATGTATATATTTTAATATAATATTGTGAAACACATATCAAACACGGTTCTATGGTGTAGTGGTTAGCACTCTGGACTTTGAATCCAGCGACCTGGGTTCGACTCCCGGTAGGACCTAATTTTTTCTACTATTTTATTTGAATTTAAAGTTACCGGAATATTGCTCCTTTTCCTACATAAGTGTTTTAATAGTTTAAGTTATATGCCAAAAAAAAAAAATGAATTTTTTATTTACTGAAAATGAAAAAAATATGGACAGACAAATAGCAAAGAACCCATCTTTTGAGTGGTAATTATTTGATTTTTGGGTTTGGGCTTGAAAGACACGGTCCATAAAAGAGCCCATGACATGAATAGTGAGTGCATTTGCAGAGCGCGCAGAAAGGCTTGTCTCTGGAGGCTGTGGTAGCAGCAAGCAACCATGGCGGATCGAAGCAACGGGGAAGTTCTAATGCTGGAAGCTCCACCGTCTTACGGTAAGCCAGCCAGTTCGGACGCCGAAATCATCGATGCACTGCCCTACATTGATGACGACTACGCAGACCCCAGAGTCAAACTCGAAGTTGACCGTCTCGTCGAGGAAGAGATGCGCCGCAGCTCTAAGAAGCCCACCGATTTCCTCAAAGACTTCCCTCCTCTTCCCAACTCCAGTTTCCAGGTTGTTCCTTCTTCTTCTTCTTCTAGAAAGCTTGCATAGCTACAGCATCTTGTTTTGTTAATTAGGTTACATAAAATCTTAATTGCAATTTCGTTTTATCATCTAATTGTTGTTTAATTTTTAGTGTTTATTGCACAATTGAACACTATTGTTCGCTTGAGATACCTAAATCATGGTTGAAAGGCACGTGCTGAAGTTGGTATTGGTGAAAAATTTCTTGCCCTAGTTCGTTTGGATTTGATTGTGCTATTTGAATTGCAGAACTACCCAATGATTGCCAGAGAATACGAACGTGTAAGAGCCGGGAGGCCTCCCGTTGCTCTTGACAGGTCGCGCTACGAATTGGAAATGCCGCCGGCGAATAAAAGGAACGATGAAACTGCTTGGAAGCAAGCCCTGAATAGAGCTCAACGCCTACTGCAATATCAGATGATGAGGTATGTTGTAATTCATTGTTGAATAGCCTACGTGCTGTTATACTCCAGCCTTTAGTGTTTTTACACTGAACATTTTAATTACTAATGATTAGTGGGTTCTAGCACTTTGTAATGGGTGGTCTATGTTATCTCTGTACAAGAGTAAATGATTAGAGATAGCTATCTGTTATGGCACTTAGTGTTCTGTGCTATCTATTGGGACAATAGATAGTTCTCAAGCTAGTATGATCTAATAGTTTCAATTACATAAAGTATACAAAGTGGTTCTGCCGCCTCAAGTATCTCAGTTTTAGTCTCTTTCCCATGGGAAGCTTAATGGACTTTATCACTCAGATTTACAAGCAAAACTCATTCACGCACGCCTTACAGACAACACAATAAATTATCCTATGCTTTATTATAGCAATCTTTTGTCAGTGAAATTCCAAAAGATTTAGACAGTCCAATAGCTTCATAAATACACTGATATTAGGAGGTGTGGTAGCATCCAGGAAATTTTCAAATATTATGGCTATTCTTTGAACATCTAGATTGGTTTCAAAAGGGAACTTTTCCATAATTTTTCTAGGAGAAAAAGTTATTATCTTGCAGCTTGAAGTATTTTTTTAAAACTTATTGTTAGGCAGTTGTTTGTAATTGTTTAACTGGTTATTATGCAGAATGGAAAATTTGGATTTGATGCTAAAATATGGTCCTGATACGTGGAAACTACACAACCAACGATTGGAAGTATACTTATCAAGGTTTGTTGATCGAATAAATGTGGGTCATTTAGATTTTGTTTGGAATTCTACACTTGCTACCTCCGTGGCATCAATCTAATTTATTGACTACTGGCTTGTAATACCAGTGTCTGTACATATTTTGTTCACTTCATGTTAGCAAATGTTGGTGCTGTCATCAAGACAGCCCTGCCTTCGCTTATATGATTGGCACTTTAAATTTCATTTTTAAATTTAATTTCTTGCCTCCAGCAAACACCCTAAGTATTTGTATAACTTGATCTGCAAGAGTCATCATAATCTTCGATCATCAACTGTAGTTTGGACTGGTGAGTTCTTTAGATGGGTACTGGTCAAATTGTACAGACACGTGCACACACATATGAGCACACACAAAAGAGTTGGGGAGCTAATCTGGACTAATCAATATCAAATAGATGATCAATGTTAAATTCAAGTAAAAAAAAAAATCAATCTTAAACCATTCGTGTAAAATTGAATGGTCTTAGACTCTACAGTTGTTTCTGCCATCTCACGTGAAACACTCCTTCAACACTCACACAAGTTGTTTGCCTGAGCAGCTGAGCTTAATAGTACCTGTTGTCTGCCTGCATAGTCAGTTGAGCACTGGTTATAGTTGTGTTATTTATTTTTAGAATGCAGAAATTAGCTCAGGAACAAAATGAGAAGATTGAAAAAGTAAATCGCGAAAGGAAATATCATCAGGTGATTATGACTTGCTACTCTTCTCTCCCTTTGATTTTGTTAAATTAGTTTCTGCTAACCTTTTACCCTTTTATTCTCAACTATTGTCAGCAAAACACTGCCTATGAGCTTAATGCGTTGTCTATGCAATGGAAGGAGCTCTGTCAGAAGAATATAGACATCAGTGCTGCCTGTGCTTCAGTTGAAAATCGCATAAATGAACTGAAAAGAGAAGCAGCAGAGAGGTGACTTAGTGAATTTTGGTTTTCTCGGTTGATATCCTAAAGTTTTGGTGTTAATTAGTTTTTTTTTTTTTTCAGAGGCTGGAACTTGGAATCTGTAACAGAAAATGGCCAATTGCTGAATTCCGAATTATGAGATTCGTATGCCCTCATCTAGTTTTGTATCCGTAGTGAATTTTGTTCAGCTCAAAACTTGACTTTAATTGCTATTGTGCTTGTCAATGTTTAGCTCAATATCATGAAAATGTTACACATCTGAAAGCCTGTTATTTGGTTTGCCCTAAGAATCCACTTTTACACATTGTTGTAGATGATTCTCGAAAGCGATATTGTTTTTTTCACATGATTTTTGAAAAAGGTGAGAAAGAAGTGGGCTCAGGCTAGGGTGAACCATGCATTAAGGAAGTAGTGCATGGTGAATCACCTGTTGTAGTAGGTCAAGTAGTAGGTCATTTTATCATGTTAAACGTACTTCACATATTTGTTATTTGGTCTCTGGTTGTTAAAATTTTCAAATGAATATTATTATGACTGCTCTCTACGAGAATCGATTCTCAAGAAAAGAGCTTGGAAATGTATTATTCGAAATCAAAAGTCAAAGTTTGCATATGAATATCAATTAAAGTGGCTAATTAGTGAGGATGGTCCTCAAGACAACACTTTCCTCATGAAAAAGCAGGTTTTCCTAATCTATCTGCCACTTCATGGCTCACTCAGTTCACTAGCAATCAAAATTGACTTAAACAATTTGGAATCCTCATTCAAAACCTGAAAATAATCCTCGATCAAATCACACGTACCTGGAAGTAATTAGTTCCAAAAATAGCTTGTGAAACACATTTGCAGCTACTACCTATATAGCCCAGTGGAAACAAATTGCCTTTGCAATGTTTAGTTGAAATTTTTGTACAAGTTTTATAGTTGCAATAGCCAGCACTGCGAAAATCCAGAACGAGGGTTTTGGTGAGATCAATCAACCCACAAAAAATCCCACGGGGGGCGGCAACACTCGGTACTCTGTAGCAACATCTTATAATAACAATATACAGTGCTCTTCTTGGAACAGAGCTACAAGTTCTCTCAATAAACCAAAGCATTCAGCTTAGCACGTATATGTACTAGGTTCCCATTAAAGAGAAAAAATCTTTCATTAACCATATAACTTGGAAGAAAGTCTTACACCGTGACTGGTAACCGTGTCATTGTCTTGAATAGTTTGAATAAGCCATACTTGCATCAACGACCAAATAAATCCCAATTATATACCATGAAATTATTCTCTAAGTCCAGCCTACTAAAGATAGAGGAATAACTAGATCCTTGGAGAAATAGGAACCTTGAGTGCATTTTTCATGAACTTCACCGTGGCACCACGTCCTCAGTAAACCGCATGCGGCAACATGGTGGGGGTTCCAAAACCACCCCTTTCAGATAAGCCAGTTTCTGCAACATGTGTTGAATCTCCTCCACCACCCTCTCTTGGTCTGTCATCTCTTGATGTGATGATTGGGATGTGGTGGGGACCGGGAGGGTTTCTGTTGTTGGGGAGGGAGAAGATGGCTCTAACTAGGATGATGAACCACCCTTCCACCAAACTCTGATTCAGCTTCAGAGTTGCTTCTAGATAAGTACCACAATAACAATCTGACAAGAGGTAATGAAGCTCCCAAAATATGCATGCCACAAAAGATAGCTCAGCAGCTCAATCAACCTAGCAAGAACCTCATTTGTTCGTCAAGGAGCTTCACTCCATAACCCTTCTTCATCCATATCGCCCCCCAAAATGCAATCAGTTAATCACTTGAATCAACTAGCAAAGAAAAACACCAAAATGAATGTCGTCAAAAATGTTACGTATGTGCATTAATGAGAAACCAAACACGAATTGAGTCCTATTATACTCTCCACACTCCGAAATTAACATTATCAATATTAATTTGTAACATGAGCGGGTTTTAATTTTATATATATTATGAACTCTAGCCAAGTGTTTAGAAGATAAGAGAAGGATTTTGTTCTCGCCCTTATTCTATTATTAATTAATAAATATGTTCAAAAATTGAGAATAATATTCCTCCCTCTGGATTTATATATAAACAAAAAAAAAATTAAACTGAAATATAAACAATTTTTAATTACATCAACTTTATTTAACATTGTTAATTCTTAATTAAAAAATACTTATCTGATAATAAATGAGAACACTATTTATTATGGATATCTATTATGAATATGATTAAAAATATTTTAGAAAATAAAATATATATTTTATGTAAAATTGTAAAATTTGAATGTACTTAATAAGTTTTTTGATCCGTGTAAAATTAGTATATATGAGTTCAGAGAAAGTATATTTTTTCTTAAATTTTGTCCATATTACCACCCAAACTTCTTGACATAACATACACATTATTTGTGGATAGTCTACAGATGTTAACACCTCTGTCATTGATTGGAGCAAAGAAAAAGATACGCAATATTGGAAGCATGCCGATCGTTAAATTTTCATTTTTTCATACATATCGATAGTAACAGGAAGGTCATATACCATCACGCCTGTTTAAGAAATCCAAAACAACTATAACAGGATCTAAAGGACGTAGGCAGTGCAGAATACTCGAAAGAATTAAGAGCATGTTAGATTTCATGTTAAAACCACCTAAAATCCCATTTGCTTTAAAAAAAAATGACCTCACAGGTGATGCAATTATGTTTGGCACACTTCCGGACAAAATTTAGTCTCACTTGATCAACTCCATCACAGAAGCAACATTTTATTACTTATGTATCGAAAGGAAAAAACACTTGTGTTTAAAAAAAAAACCCTATTAATTAATATTTTGTTATAAAACCAATACCATTTTTAGTTAATACATTTAAAAATGATTTTTATTTATATCATCCAAACATTTTGTCAAAATCACAGTTGAGATAAAAGTATCCAAACATAAATCATATTACTTCAAACTCAAATCTAACCGAAATCAAGATTGTAAAATCAAATTGGTTCGAACTCGAGTTTGTATACTCTAAACACTTAGTAAGGCATACAGGAATATGTCAAGCTTCAACTCATAAAGATTATGGAATCGGTTGTTTAAATAAAAATAAAAGTTATTCATTACAGCTCAATTTGTTATAATTCAACTAAACAATATAGATGCCTCAAAAATTGTCCTAGCTGTTCTGTAATTCTCTTCCTAACCAAATCTAAGTCCTTTAAAAGTCTCAAAAAAAGAAAGAAAAGAATGAGAAAGATTAAATAGATTTCCTTGATTTTCCACCACACCAGTGAGTAGAAGCTTCATTTCCATTTTGTCTAGTTAATGACATATTTTGGAATAAACAAACAGGCACTTTTGCAAATCAGGGGGTTGGATGCTTCCCGACAGCACAAGCTGAACTCAAAGAACCTCAGTACGGTTTAATCTATTGGCACAGTGCACAGAGACCCATGTCCTGGACTATGCTCTAGAGGATACATGGTTGTTCTCTTCACATACCTTAAATGATCAATTGCCGCCTTTCTGAGCTTTGAAACTGCCTTTAGATTTCTTTTTATTTGCTTCTTAATTATGGAACATGAAGCCAGTGGATCTTCAGATCCTGCTCCAACTCTCCTGTAAAAATCATAAATTTGAGAAAGTCTCAGATGCAATCCATCTGTACTCACATTAAGCTCAATTAGTATTAAACGATTTATAACATGCCATGTTCATTGTGCAGAAAGACAATGGCAGGATAGCATCAAGTGTTGGTGATCCATATTATATAGCCATTGAATAGTAAATTATTTGATATCTCTGACTCTTACAATTGGACAGATAATTTGAAGGTTCATAGAATACGAATTAATAGGGCACTCAGTATATATTGGAAAATTAGTATGTGAAGTTTAAAAATTGGTAAGCATTCTAGTCAAGTTTCCAAATCAATCAATTAGTAGGGCACTCGGAATATAGAGAACTAGCAGGGCCGAATGACTGATGTCAAATGAAGTTATACAAAAGGGTCACCTTTCAGTATTTTCCAGTCTTCCGATAGAACAGGTCACAGGCCAATTATACTTCTCTGGCCCTCTGCTTATGAACATTGAACTACTAAATATTTTATTTATCACAACTTTAGATGTCTTAATAGACTTCCAACTATAATCAACTCCTATATATTAAACTTGAACAACTATCTTATGGAAGAGTGTTTTTAGGGTCTATACTTCGACAGAAACATTTTTAGGAATTTTTATAACTTCTTATTTAATTCAGTTTTTTTATTTATGAATTAAATTTTAATAATTTAATATAAATTATCAATAATTAAAAATAATTTTATGTCACAATATAAATTATTTATCTTAAGGTTATCAAAAATATTATTTATCTTAAACCTAAAATATAATTTATATCTTTAAAAATTTTATTCATACAAATTTTAAATATAATTTATATATTCAAATATAATATTTATTTATATATATATAATTTATAATAAATTTAGTTATATAATAAACATTTAAACCGTGAAATGCACATGCTAATTATACAAAAAGGTAAAATGCATGCAATATTGTTTCAGGATTAAAAAAAGTAAAGACGGGGGAGGGGAGGGGGTTGAAAAAATAAATCATTTACCTCAGTAATTTCTCTGATGCAATTCTAGCAGCTCGTATCATATGGGGGCTCGGAACCCATTTCACAACACGATTTGGATCAGCTCGCATGGGAGAATGAATTTTGATAAGCTTGACAATGGGAGCAGATAAACAAAATCAATGACTTGGAAAACAAGAAGCATGAATATACTTGTAATATTCAGTACAAAGTCAACAAAGAATATACATTCTTATTATTTATACAGTCCAAGTATGAAACTTCAACTATTAACATAATTCTCAACCAATAATGAGGAAAACCTATTTACTTTTGGTTCCAAAGGAGAGTTATTAGTATGACTTGAACCTATGACCTCCACAACTATTGTTTACTTACCCCCAAGCATTCCATCATCTGGTAATAAGCTCTACCATGCAATGGGGTATGGCCTTGACGGGATTCAGAAAAATACCTTGTCCTAAATGAAATAAGGATTATTGATCAGGTAATCATATTCCAAAGAAAAGTATCTAAGCAGAGATACTAATTGCTTAAAGAAAATATAATACCATTCTTTATAACCAGGATCTACTGTGAAACCATACATATCCACTGAATCACACATAGAGAGAGCAAATTCAAGAGCCTTAAGTCCAGTTCCTTTTGCTGCTGAGCCAAAGGATGCACCTAACATGAGGTACACAGGATTTTTTATAGGAACCTCCTGCAGAAGACAAAATCCAATTGTTTTGCAAGTGGCGCATAGAAATATAAAGTACGGGTTTTAGAAGGTGGCTTCTATTGACAAGGAAAATATACCCGAATCATTTGGTTCATGATGTCATGAATTGTCGTTTTTATTATCAAGACTTCTTTTCTTTGTTCTGCAGAAACAGCATTTACAGTAAGGTTGTAGTAATTCATAATTGCATTATAGCAGGTGGAATTCATGATAACAAGTGGCAATACCGTCTAACTCTACAACTTTATCCAGTGCTTTGGCAGATCCTCGATTTAGAAGTCGAAATGTGCTTTTCCTACCCACGTAATCAGTGTAGTTCTGCAGTCATAAATAATATTAAGTGGATGAGGTCTTAATTTTAGGACAAAATAAATAGAACATCAGAAACACCTAGCAGAGCAACAAACCTGTGTTGGGGCACCATTTTCTCTGAGGACAACATCATAACCATCTATCTCCTTCCCAAATTTTGTTTTCAAGAGATCTCCCGAGTTACCAATAACAGCACAGCGCCCAAACTGTCTTGGGAAGTATGGTGGTGTTTCAGGGAGAACTAGTGAAAGTTTCTCCATGCACAAGGTCCTGTTCTCACAGTGGTTGCTGCAAACAGAAAGATCCTGTTCTATGAGGCTTTACGCTAAACAAGAACCCCAGAATTTACTATTATAAGTAATTATAATTTATAAATACATTAAACATGGAACATGAAATCTATGTTTTATATTGAGAAGCTTATGTTGTATTTAGCAATTAGAGTAAAGTGAAATACACAGCTCAAGAAAGGGTTTTTTCTCCTCTACAAGAGCATGAAGTTTGCTTCATGACAGCCAGTTAAAATGTCTTAGGACTGAGAAATTGACAGTGTATCCTAACTCAAGTAACATATCATATGCCTTATTTTTGGATATGGAAATCACTGTTGCATTTTTGGATAAAGAAGAGCTTCAGACCATTCGAGGTTTTGAAATTAGCATAATCTTTCTGGATGTTTATAATCAGCTATGTAAGGCATACCACTAATATTCTTTTCTAATAAATGAATTAAAATGCTAGTTTGACTGTCATTCTTATAGGATACTATTATTGCACAATTACTTAACTGTTAAATAAAATTGAGTTCCACATTTACTTACAGTTGTATTCCTTTATTGATCCTACGCCATGCATATTCCTCCCATCCGTTTGGTAAAGAATCAATGAACTCCTTGGTAAGTATAGTGGTACTGTTCCGCACCTGAAAAATCATTTTAAGACACAACAATAAAATGTAAAGCATAGATCATAATTTCCTTTTACAATTAAAAAAAAAAAATTAAAGGAAGTTCACATTAATGTCTAGAGGATGGCAAGGGTATTTAAACTGCCTTACGGTAGACCAAAAATATATGAATTTAGTAATTTACAGTGTGTCTATAGAAATAAATCAATTAGGAAATCAAAAGCATTTGAATGTCTATAACACGAAAGAAATGATAGATTTCTGACTAATCACAAAGACAAACCAAATTGCTTACCTGTTCCCACGTTGACACAGCTTCGCATAGATTAAAATCAAAAGACAGAGCTTCAAGTTCACCGGTTTTGGGATCTTTCTGTTAATACAGAAAAATCCACAGGTTAAAAATATAGGTTAATTGTTTAACTGCTTTTAAACCATGTGTTAAGTATTTAATTACCCATACTTCTAAGTAGGAGGAAGTCGTTTTCCCAGATCAATTATCATAATTAACATATTTTATAGAACCATACATGCAACATACTTTTTTTCCTTCATGAACAACAGTCAGGTCAGTGAATGAACAGGAATGCTTACCCATTTGGGGATGGTGTCACTCGGGAAATTTATTGTGGTTTGGCAATAATCTGTGCCCTTAGTTGCTTTTAGGCCAAGTCCATTTGCACTCTGCATAAAACACAAAATTAGCAACTCAGTTGAATCATCCAAAGAACCCATATTGTGAATACAAGATCTAAACGATGTATAAAGTGTTGAAACCTAAGAAAACACATTTAAACCAAAGAACTACAATTTACTCTAAAATAAATACCACTCAAGGGGCAATCAAAATTAATAAATCATAATCGTTTCAAAGAAAATACAATAGTTTTCAACACTGAAAAACAGTCCTTTGAAATTTAGTAGAAGAGTTTGCATACAACTACCAAAGGTCCAATACTGAATATCAGTGTATTTAGTATTTAACTATTCCTCAATTTGCAGAGATCTTTATGTTGTTGGCATCAATTGGAACCAAACTAAGATTCAGGTCTACAATCCCTACCTAATTCACAACTTAAAACATTCACAAATAACGCAACAACTTTGTGTGTTACACACGAAAACTAAACATGGCAGTCAGTGTAAAATAATAGAAGCAGAGGGAACCTCACCACACACTTCTGGAAAGAGTTGTGAAGAGAAAGCAATGCTTCGGTGTCTTCATCTGTGAGGTGATGATTGGGATCTACAAGGGGTTACATTATTAGATTTAAGGCAGATGAACTAAAAGTTTCGCAATTTGAATGAGAGATAGGTAAATACATACATACATACAAAAGAATCAGAGAGGCCGGTGATGTAGATGGAAATGGCTGCAAATCCAGATGCCAAAGCAAGAAACAAACCAAGTCGCAGAACCCTCATCGAATTATTCAGTTGCCGACAAAGGGAATTGGGGTTTATCAACTTCTGCAGATTGATTCACAACCACCATACACTCCAATTCAGACTACAAATCTTTGAATATCAGCGTCAGATCTTTACGTACGTGAAACTAATTTGAGTGTCCAATTGGTTTTCTTGGGTTACTTATGGAAAAATATATAACTTTTGGGGCTTTTAGGAATAATCAAATTATTTTATAATCAAATTCACTTATTCAGACTTGGAACTTAGAAGTTTAAATTATTAATAAATCATGGGTAATATATATGACTAAAAATTATAATAAATTATATATACAATAAATATTATATTTAAATATATAAATTATATTTAATATTTGTGTAAATAAATATTTTTAAACATATAAGTGATATTTTAAAAATTTTATAATAGTTTATATTGTAGTACAATATTATTTTCTATTTATTGATAATTTATTTTAAAAATATTAAAATTTAA